GAGATAGGTGCCGTAACACTCAATTGAAAAACAAAGAAAGGACAGGTCCTATTACTTTGCTATCTAGGAATCATTTTTTCTTCTTTTACGTGAAGTGCTTTGGCCTTTGAGGGTTCATTCGTTTTATTTTAGAGGGAATCATGGCCATTTTTTTATCAGGAGAGACATCACAAGAGAAACATCAGGAGCCAGAAATAAAGAAAAGAGAGGAGGACAATTTCATAACTAAAATACTTGAAAGCTTGAGAGTTCTTTCTTTTCTAAAAACTAAAAAAGTTTGTATTGGTGAAATTCCTTTTATTGGGAGGTATTGTAAGAGGGGCAGAAAGAAGAAAAAAGAATGGGGAAAAAGCAGTGAGAAGTTTGAAAAAGAAAACAAGACCAGAGGATATCTTCTAGAGGTAAGAATTCTATATATTATTTTTAGAAATATTTTGAGTAAGTTAGCCTTTAGAAAATTAACCTTTATAAAATCACACTGCTTGTAAGCTTCAATATGCATCACAACGTTTCCCACCATGGCTGAATACGTTACAAGAAATGAATGGTGTCTAAACTTTTAAAATTTAGATGGTTTGGTATAAGAGTTTTATACATTGGATTGGAAGGGATGACCGAAGCTTTAAAAAAAAATAATAATAAAAAATGTAAGTAAAGTTTGCATGTGAACTGAAGATTCTAGATTAGTTCCCTATGTGACTCTTGCAGTTTAATGTTGAGGACGGCTTTATTTTTTGCATTCCTAAGAGTCATGTTGTCAATATATGAAATCACCACTTATACAAGCATTTTCGTGAACCTTTTTTCAAAATTTGCAGCACCTGTTGTTATCTTTCTTTTTTGTCACTTTGTTATTGTTGTGGAGTTATATTCTTTAAAAAAAAAAAAAAATTGATGCTGAAAGGGTCCACTATTAATTTTTCAAAAAGCTGATTTTTCAAATAATTTCAGCATCAAATTGATTGAAATAATTGACATAATTTGTAACTAATTTATCTCTTTCTTATATGTGCTTGCTAATCGGAGCTGTGACTGGCTAAATTTTTTTGTCACTGGCTATAATGATTTCCTAGCTCCCCCACTGGCCACTGTCATCATACCCTCACTTCTTAGTTCATCACAGCGACGGCACACTTTCTAGCTACTAACGCCGTATATTTGTTTGCTTGAGATCATTAGAGAAGTTTGCTCTCCCATCTCAATTCAAGTTAATGGTAGATTTTGCTAACATGGAGTGGCTCTTCATTGGTGGATTTGGTTTCATAGATTCGTTTTTGTATAATGAAACTACAAGTCTTTGTTTTTCATTGGGAAAATTATGGAAGAAGCAAGCCATTCTTTGGTTTTTATTTTTTATTTGTTTTCGACATTGCTTCATTTTTTTTAATATAACGAGAAATAATGAATGAGTTAAGATTATTTAATAGAAGTAAGTTATACTCATTTTATTTATATTTAACTGCTTTAATTTTTTAATTCCGTGAGTTATAAGATACAAGTAGATAGAGTAAGATTTATTATTTTTGTACATATAATTTATCACATAATAAATAAATAAAATTTAAATTTCAAATAATAAACTAATGAAAGATTGCGACTGTGAACATACACACAGACTAATGTTTGCCACATTACATGTCAGTTAGTAACTTAAGGACATATGGATGGACAAGTTTGTTAAGGTTATAACTTAAAAAATTAATCAAGACAGTTTTAAAATTCATGAAAATAATTTATCCACAGGCAAAAGTTTGAGAAATCTGTATGTAATTTTTTAAAATTTAGATTGCACACTTAATTTAAGAATTAAATTAAATGAAATTCATTTTCATATACTTAATTGTGATTAAAATGATGATATATCACACTTAATTTAGTCGCTCAGAACGGACCTCCCAGAAGGTAATTTTAACGTTACCGATTTTTCTTCTTTTGCAATCAGTTTCGCTACAGCGCCCGAACAGATTTGATAAATATTGATAACTCTCGGATAGAGTATTAGAAAGGAAAAATCCATTAGATTGGTAGCATAATTTTTTTTTCCCTAAAATTCCTTGGATGGGTAAATAAGAATGCATCGTTTGAAACAGGATTTTTTAAAAAAATTTGGGAATCTGATTTTTTCGAAATCTTATTTTGTATGTAATTTTTTTTGAAAATATCATCCAAGAATATCAACCAGGGGTGGTATTCTAGAATTTTCATGATAAGAAAAATTAAATACAATCAAACATAGCATCAAAAAAATTAATTCAATATTTTTAGAAATATTTTAACCTATCAAATAATTTTTTGATAATATTCCTAGAAAATTTATTTTTAATCATATTCCTAAAAATCGTGATTTTCATATAATTTTTTTTCTTCTACAAAACGTGCCCTGAATGCCAAGAAATTTCCGAGTTAAATAAAAAAGAAAACTCAAAATTGTACACTCAGTGAAAATCCTTACCAAGATTTTTTGAACTACTTGATCTAATTGGGTTGACACATTTTCACATGGTAAAGTAGGACTTTGTTCTATTAATTATTATTGCTACATATATAAGCCCATTGTTTAGGTATTTGAGCCGATCCAACGTGACGTAAGGATACTGGATTAGGACCACCACTAAGGCCATACTAACTCCATTTCATTTTTTTTGCAGATAAACTCCATTTCATTGTTTCTACTTACTTTGGGACTTTCTGCAAGGCTGGTGGACCACCATAAATTTGAAAAGGTTTTCAAGTTATGATTTGGTCATATCTTAACCTTCAATCATATCTTTTACTATTCACAAGAAAATATGAAAAATAAAATAAAATACCACAACCCACACGCTGACTCAGTCATGACTCATGGGTCATCATCACTCATGAATCCAAGACCACATTTGATAGTTTTCTACCAAGTGATGACATAGGATCAATTTTTTTATTATTATTATCTCTTTTGAGGTGAGTAAGTTTTTTTTTTTTTCTGTATTTTTATAAATTTTGACTTTTTGATTTAATTATGAAACTAATTCAGAAACAAAAATGATTATGGATAAAGATTTTAAATTTCTCTTAAAGTTGACATGTGAAAATCAAATCAATTTTTTTTTATTGTTCAGCTCTCATCCACTAACTAAGTTATTAGTATTTGGTATTAGATCAAAATCTATAATCAAGTTTACCAGCAAAATATATGCATGACTGCGTAAGTTAAACATCTATCAAAACTGACTGAACCGTTATGCTAAGGTCAACCTTAACAAAAACTTACCAACAAAACTACGCCAACTATAATAGAATACAAGACATTAAATTTACGTTGTTGTATTTTATATTTTAAAGTTTACAAAAATTAGTTTTGAGATTAAAATTCATATTTAATGGGAAATAGTTATATCATATTGTAGGAAATTAATTGTATTATGCTATAGACACAATCAATATGGACTCCACTATTTTTTTTCTTTTTATTTTAAAAGTGGTGAAGTCTACATTAGTTGTGTCTATAGCATGATATAATCAATTTCCTACAACATGATACAACTATTTCCTTATATTAATCGCCCAAAGAATTTGACATTTCTCTACGATAGGAGGATTATTTTCACCAATCCCAAAATAATGTGATTTTGGAGTTTAGGAAAAAAGATATAAGGTATTTTAGTAAAGGGTTTTATAATTCTCAAGTTATATGAGAATTTTTATCTTTTGTTATAGAGACAAAAAGTATGTGAGACTCATATATTTAAAAAAATTATGCGTAAGACTCATGTCAACACGAAAATTGAAAGATGTGTAAAAAGATTTAAATTCTCATGTTGAATGAAAATTATAAAACCCTTTAATAAATTAATGATACAAAAGGAATGTAAGATTACTAAAATATTCAATATATTTTTTAAAAAAAATCTTAAAATAACGTTGTTTTAAGATTATTAGAGATAATTATTCTTTTGTTTATAATCATTGTTAGAAATAATTTTATCTCCTGGAGAAAACCTTTCCCTTATTTATTTTAGTAGAAGATACTAACTTTTTTTTATTATAGACAAGACAAAATTATTTTAAAAAGTACTTGTTTTTATATATCTACTACTATTTATTCGATAAAATTAAAGAACACTCGTGTAAAAGTAATTTATTTATTTTATCTCAAAGAATGATTAGTAATTTTTGTTATATTCTCACCAAAATACGATATATGTTATTATTATTATTATTATTTTGAAATGAAAATGAAAATATATTTTAAATAAATATAATTTTTAATATTATAGCTGAATTTCAGAAAAAGAAAACATATAATACATACCTTACTCTCAACTAAGATCAAAAGATCACTTGAAAATATTTTTATAATTATACTCAAAACAATTATTCATAAGTTTGATAAATTTAATTCATAAAATTAAATAATTTAATTCCATAATTAAAACTCCATTGACAATATCCTTGCAACTCATAATATAAAAAATATAATTGTTGCCCCAACTAGTCATAAAATAATTGAAATATCTTAAAAAAAAGTCGTAATTATATCAACTTTTTATAATTGAAGAATTAAATAAGTTTTTATTTTTTAAGCGACATACCACCTGTATATTTCATAACCAAAATTCTAAAATGCAAGTTTACTTTTTATTTTTTTTATTATTATTTTGTTACAATTTCCTTTCACTGGTCACCATTCGCTAGTCACACACACTACTACATAGATTCCCATGGAACCGACAACTTTAAATAAATTCCCCTCAACCGCCAAAGCAGACTCGTCGACGAAATAATGCGCTAGTGGTTTGTTTCACGTTCCTATCGTGTCTGACGTGGCCACATATTCACCGTCAACCTCTATCAAATTCGAAAAAACAAAAAATCCTCATTCTCCAGTCCTCACTCAAACAACTAGAGAGAGAGAGTGAAAAATATAAAAATAAAAGAGGAATAACAACGTACGAATTTCCTTTATGAAATTTTTTCGTTCGTTTTGAATATTGGTCGGATATTATTATTATTATTCTTTATTTAGATTATTTTATTAAAAAGTTTAGCTTCAAGATCACGCTTGTGAGTAAAAAAACAAAAACAAAAGATGTTGCAGTTGGGTTGTGCTGTGTTGTGTAGCGGTTGTGCTTGTGTGCATTATCATCGTGACACGAGTAACTTTATTGGGATAGAGTGAGGTTTTTTGAGATTTGAGAATTGAGAATTGAGATAGAGTGAGAAGGAGTGGTTAATGTGGAAGAAAAAAAAATGGTGGAAGTGAGAGGGAGGAACTCGTGGACGGAGGAGCTGGCGAGTTTGATTGAGGATTCAGGGGTGCATTACGCCGGAGATCCACCGGACATGGACGTGTCTTCGACGGCGTCGTTTCATGTGAGGAGTGAGTCGGTGGTGGAATCAAGGGAGAGCTTGAAGGAACAAGTTTTGGGGTTTGTGATGGCTTGGTTTGAGATACTCTTGGAGTTGGTTCGAGGTTGTAGGGACATTCTGCAACAGAACTTCATCAACCACGAATCCTATGTAGTTAAGAAGCTTCGTGGACCTTGTGCTAAGGTTTCTAAGAGGTTGAGGTTTCTCAATGATTTTCTCCCCGAGGATCGTGACCCTCTTCATGCTTGGTCTGTTGTGTTCTTCGTTTTCATTCTTGCCCTCGCAGGTGCATTCAACTTGTGTGTGTGTGTGTTTTTTTTTCCCTATTATAATTGCTTATGCTAGGCTTACTTACTTTTTATTTTCATGAGTTATTTGCAGCTATAAGTGTAGATCCCAATCGTGAATCTGTAGCCCCAGTGGTGAAGGTGCGCAAGCATCCTCTTAGTGCTAGTCGCATACTACTTCCTGATGGTAGATACATGGCTTACCATGAGCAAGGTGTTTCAGCTGACAGAGCTAGATTTTCACTTGTTGCTCCACATTCTTTTCTTTCATCCAGGCTAGCAGGTAACATTTGAGTTTAGATTCTTAATTATTAGAAAAATTTCTTGGGTATAATCTTTATGATGAACACAAGTAGAAATTTAATTCTTATCTTTCATTTTTTTCCCCCAATTGAAGGTTTACCTGGAGTTAAAGCATCATTGCTTGAGGAGTATGGTGTTCGCTTGGTTACATATGATCTGCCTGGTTTTGGGGAGAGTGATCCTCATCCTAACAGAAGTCTCAACTCATCAGCTATGGATATGCTTCATCTAGTCAATGCTATAAATGTTAGTGATAAGTTCTGGTTGCTGTGCCATTCTAGTGGATGCATTCATGCTTGGGCTTCTCTCAGATATATTCCTGAGAGAATTGCAGGTTGTACTGCATCTTTTTAAATCTTTTTAATTTCTAGATATCTTTAAAGTGCTCATAAAAAATCATCTTGTTGACACTAATTAAAATTAGATTAGACCACTAATTATTGATACCCCTGGCCAGTTGGCAGAGTTATTGTATATTGGATTTATTATCTGGATGTAGAATCCAATGGTCAATGATATTGCCAGTTGGGCAGGGATATCAATTATTAAGTGGAGCACAGAAACCTCCTTTCATTTGCTGTTAGTGAACAAAGGCCATTATTGATTGAGGGTTTTTGGGGGGGACAAACTTGTGTATCTGGAGTCTGGGCTATTCCATGGTCTAGTTACGTTAGTTCACTTCCATTCTTTTCATCCGGAATCTTTCACATCAAGAATTGCTAAAGTCCTTGCAGAGACAGTTGGAGTTCTTACTGTATGTGATATGTAGCAGATAGTTTATTAAGTAGTATGACCTTTGCGTCCAAAACAACTTAAAGGGTGGGCAGAGTGATTAAAACACATTTACTGACTTGTTTGAATGTGCAAAGAGAATCAACATCAACAACACCTTTATCCCAAATTAATTGGGGTCCGTGGTAGATGAACCCACATGAAAGATACAAAACGGTTGAAAAAAAGTAAAAAAAAATAAAAAATAAAAAAAAAAAAAATAAATAAATAAAAATACACAAATAAAATAATAAAATAAAATAAAATGAAATAAAAATATATGTATATATAAATAAATAAAAGTAAAAAAGAAAGGGACAAGAAGAAGTGGGGGAAATGAAGGGGAAAAGGACTAAAAAAGGACCATCTGGAACATAGGAATAACAGCGAGTCTAACCCTCCACCATACTTATAGCTTTTCTCCATTCCTTTCTAAGACATACTGTCCGCCAATCTATATCCCACTCCATTAAATCTTGTTTTACTACTTTCCCCCAAGTAAGCTTCGGCCTACCTCTGCCTCTTTTTGTGTTTAGCTCTTGGTAACAAACTTCTGTTCTTACAGGAGCATCCATGGGTCTTCTCATCACGTGCCCAAACCACCTCAATCTATGTTCTCTCATCTTCTCGGCTACCGGTACTACTCCGACCTTTCGTCGAATATCTTCATTTCTTATCTTATCCATCCTTGTGTACCCATACATCCACCTTAACATCCTCATCTCTGCTACTCCCATCTTATGCTCATGTTGCCTATGTGCTGGCCAGCATTCCGCTCCATATAGCATTGCCGGTCGTACTGCCGTTTTATAGAATTTTCCTTTTAACTTCAGGGGAATTTTGCGGTCACACAAAAATGCAGATGCACTACGCCATTTCATCCACCCTGCTCTGATTCTGTGATTTACATCCTCATCTTTCCACAAGAACTGTAATTGAACTTTACCCTTTTTTATCTTTCCAATTAACTTGTAAGAATGTAGATGGAGTCACAGTAATGATTTTGTTGGCATTAGATTTGTATATGGCCCAAAAGGTTAACATGACTAATTTGTTATGAGCCTCTCTCAGGGTCTGCAACATTATGGGTAGAAAGCCTTAATAGGACCAACACTTGCAGTCAGTAGACCAACAAATCAAATTTCCCTGATAGCTTTATTCTTCAAAGAAGTCCGCTCCACAGATTATTAGATTTGTTATAGAGAGAGAGCAAAGAGAATACAAATAATAATCTTTTTTCTCAATGAAAGGAAGGGGTGGGGGAAGAAAAAAGTAAAATCTGAAATATTTCCTTCAGAATAGAGCATATATGTTGTATAGGTATGAATCTCTTGTGACATGGTTAACAAGATGTGGCTACAGATTTGCACTTGTACCCAGTAGGGAAAGTATCATCTTCTTTGAAGAATAAAGCTATCAGGGAAATTTGATTTGTTGGTCTACTGACTGCAAGTGTTGGTCCTATTAAGGCTTTCTACCCATAATGTTGCAGACCCTGAGAGAGGCTCATAACAAATTAGTCATGTTAACCTTTTGGGCCATATACAAATCTAATGCCAACAAAATCATTACTGTGACTCCATCTACATTCTTACAAGTTAATTGGAAAGATAAAAAAGGGTAAAGTTCAATTACAGTTCTTGTGGTTTACTCTAAAATCACTTATGCCCTAACCTTTGTTTTTATCTCTTACCTACACTTTTTTTCTCTATTGAAGTCGACCTAAATGCCGTAAAAAATTACATAAATTTGTATATTTTGCCCCTGCTAACAATAAACAAAGTATGAACAATTTGCTGTGCAAGATGAGAATCATGAGATCAGAAGAGCAAAGATAGAATAAGGTAGAGAGTGAGAGATGGGATAATGAAATTTGGGGAAATTTGATTTATAACAATCATAACGTACACACCGATGCAAGATCTTATAATAATCATAAGATGAATATTGCCTAATGCAGTGTAGCCTCTGTTATCTATATTACAAGTTCACAATACAACTAGACCTGTCATTTTCTGTCATGATCGTACGTAGCACAAAGTGGAAGAAATTAACATCACCTGTTCTTGGTAGTAATATTCGTGATCAACATAGGAACCTGCACCCTTCATAAGCCCACTGGGATGAGCTTGACTATTAGTAATTTGCTTGGCTCCGCAGTGTGAGCCTAAAAATGCCCTCTTCTGCCACCATTGCCTCCTCCATTTCCATGTGTAAGTCACTTGGTTTGCTCTTGTACAATTGGGTCTGCTCCTGGAATCTGAATGAAAATAATTTTTAATTAGTAAGTGCCAAATATTCTTGCAGAAACAACTGCAGCCAACACTGTTTACATACACATTCTAAAAGCATCCATAGAAATTTTGAAATGAGAAAACAAACTCATGATCACGTGATTGATACAATCTGCATATATATTTTATTTGTTTGCTGTTCATGGGACAAAATGGACAGTTTATGTAATATTAAATGGTGTTTAGGTTGACTTGGATGGAAAAAAAACCACAGGGAAGGTAAGTTATAATAATTTTTTTTTGGGAATAAGTGATTTTAGAGTAAATCATTCTTGGGTTATTCGGACTTTACCCAAAAAAAGAGGTCATACCAATAAAATCAATTTTCTATTTGTTTGCCCACCTTTGTTTAACGTTTATTCCCTTTTCTAGTATTTATACCCTCCACCCCCCCAAACAAAGAAAAGAAACACATTGTGGAACTTGATGTAATTTATGATATTGTCCAACATTTCAGGTGCAGCTATGTTGGCTCCTATGATTAATCCATATGAGCCACACTTAACTAAGGATGAGATGAAAAGAACTTGGGAGATGTGGTTGCCAAGGAGGAAACTAATGTATTCCTTGGCTCGTAGATTTCCAAAACTTCTCTCTTTTTTCTACCGGAAAAGCTTCTTGTCTGAAAAGCATGATGAGATTAATAAGCAGTTATCTTTTTCACTAGGAAAGAAGGTGAGTCTGGTATATCCTTGAACTATTTACAGAGGATAAATACTTCTAAAAAATGTTGCATCTTTCATCAATGTATATGAACTTTTTCTGTATTGCAATTGTTGAGTGGATTCATGTCCGCTTCAAACAAATAGGGTTTGCTGGGCATTTGGTTCAAATTTGTGAGGTCTGATTTCTGTCTATGATAACTTGTTGTTAACTAGAAGCCGATGCTTTACCAGATGGATACTGAATCACAGTTGTTTTTATTTCAGATTGTCAACTGTCAATATCTGGTTAAAAACTATGGTGCCATCCAATATAATTGTCTTTCTTGAAATTGCTTTATCTAACTCATTGAAGCTACAGAGCCTTAGAACCGTTGACTTCAATCTTGTAGTATTATGGAAGTGAATGAATAATTGTGCAGTGGAATATCCTTATATAATCATCATTCTTCTGATTGTATATTATATGTGATAGCTTCATCTCAGCAACATCCGTCAGCGAATACTTATTGTTGTTAATTGTTAAAATATTAGTCTTGTGGGAAACTGCTTTTCCTCTGTCCCTTGCCTTCCTTGGTGACATTTGAACGTAGAAGTAAAGCTGACTTTAAAAATTAAATCCAAAACAGAAAATTATGTAGTATAAATTACCTCATTTCACTTGCAGCTTGCAAAAGTGTTTGAGAGTAAAAGGCATTTATCTCTTTCATGATCTGTTAACATAATCATTTTCACATGTTCAGGATAAACTTCTGATTGAAGAACCAAAGTTTGAGGAATTTTGGCAGAGGGATGTGGAAGAGTCAGTTCGTCAGGAAAACATACAGCCATTTGTAGAGGAAGCTGTTCTGCAGGTATCAAATTGGGGTTTTAAGCTCAAAGAACTTCATGTGCAGAAGAAGTGTCAAACAAGAGGCATACTTCTTTGGTTGAAATCCATGTACGGTCAGGTGGAATGTGAACTAGCAGGATTTCTTGGTCTAACACACTTGTGGCAGGTTTGGACTTTGAAGACATTGTTCTACTTTGGATACTACAGCTATTACGTGTTGTATTTTCTATCTACAATATCTTTTTCGTAGTTTTCATTCATCTGCAGCTGAAGGATAAATAACCCTTTTATGTGCGTCCATCCCTTGCCGTTGTTGACATTCTGCATGCTAAGTTGTAGGTGTTCAAAGTTGTAGGAATGTCTAGAGATAGCATACTTGATAATATACACACCTGTAGTTTTTAAGATCAACAAATGGTTAGAGAATCCCTCTTCCAGGAAGGAGGACAATAGAAATCAGGAAATTCGACTCTCTTAACCAATGTTTTTGCATTAGCAATTGCTCCAAAAAATTCAGTCACTGGTTTGTCTTTCACGATTCTTCTAAATTGATGTTTATCTATTTACCCAACTTAAATATGTTTTAAGGGATTCTTGTGTACACTTAGTAAGTAGATTAAATAAGTAAATTGACACATCATAAATTCATCTCATATATAAAATGGTTGTGTGGCGCAAACATTTAGACAATAATTAAATGTAAAATGGTGATGTGTGTATTTATTGGCACAAGAATTTCTCCTGTTTTAATCAAGTTAAACTTGTTATTACATGTAAATCCTACGTTTAACTTTTCAATCCTTAACAGGGATTGGACGATAGGGTGGTTCCACCATCAATGATGGAATATATAGAACGAGTTTTACCAGAAGCAGTCATCCATAAGCTTCCAAATGAGGGCCACTTCTCCTATTTCTTTTTCTGTGATGAGTGCCATAGGCAAGTGTTCACCACTCTCTTTGGAACCCCTCAAGGCCCGGTTGAACGACAAGAGGAAACTGCATTCGAGGAAGATAAGGAAGAGGTTTTACAAATATCTGTTTGACTGTTTCTAATGTGAAATGACACATAACCGCTGATATACAACATAGGTTGGATGTAGATACCACAGGCGGTTCCACTGCTCGGTGGAGCTTGAAAGAAGAGAGGTGCTCATTATAATTCTCAAAATTTTGAATTGCTCAAGAGCTTTTGGAGATATAAGTAAAAGCAAGAATGTCACATTGTTTTTCGTACTCCCCCTCTCTCCATAAGCAAATTGTATGTTAAAACCTTGTCTAATTGGTTCTAGTTCCACTTTAATTTCCTCATTTTCTTGTACTCAGTTTCTCTCCCTTTTAATTTTGAACCTTCTTACTCTTCAACTAGTCACTCCTTTTATTATATATAAAAGGAAAAATATGATATTTCTCTTTAAGTTTTACCCTACAAATAAGCTGAAGCCAGTAAATTAGTAATCAACATTCCCATCTTTTTTAAAACATATTTATCTTGAATTTCTGATAGGGTAGTCCATGGTTGTAGTTGAAGCGGTCACGTGCTGATTTGAAGTTTGTGAGGTTCCTGGGTCCGAACCATGTTCTGGACACTTCGTGGATAGTAGTTATACTTGAAAATTGTTCATAGGTAGGCTATTTACTAGTTGAAACATAATAGATGACATTCAAAGTGAAATACGTAAAATTATCATGGTGAAGTGGGCTTTAATTTAAACCAGAGGGGAGAGAGATGGTGGAAAATATTTTCGGTATTCCCATCCTACCATCATTTACTAAATATATCAAAAATTAACACTTTTACATTACTCTTACCTTATTCTCATCCATATCCTTTATTTTTCTTTTTTTGGCAAAGATATATATATTCTTAATGCACCAAAAATGAGCTCCATAGATGTACTCGTAATGCACAAAAAATGAGCTCATAAAAGTGCAAGAATTGTACTAAAAAGTACAAGAAAAATCACTTTTATTGATAGCTTTCTCAACTCTCAACTTCAATGGAAAAAGCCAAGTTTTTTTTGGTAAACAAATGGCAAAAGCCAAGTTACAACAGAGCTTCGTCATCTCGATAAATGCATAACCATGTTCAATTTTCCCACTATATAATTGGGTCCGCAAGAAATGATTTGGCGATGAACAAAAAATTTAAAATTGACATTTAGTGAGACTACTATCTAAACTATTAGGGGGTGTTTGGTATGAATATTTTAATTGAAATGATGAAAAAGTGAAGTGAAAAAATTTATATACCATGTTTGGTATGATAAAAATGATGAAAATCCCAGCAAATTTTTTTTGCCCATTATTTTCCTTTTCAACTACAAACGGCTAAAATTTTTTCCTCCCACAACCATGGTACTTTTTTCATCCCATTAACTAGGATTCTGATCCTAAGAGAGACAGTTATCGCAGCTGTTCATATCACTGTATTTGAACTCATTATCACTGATCAAATATTGGTATTGATTTTCATCGCAGATCGCAGATCTCGGTTGTCGGATATGAGACCAAAATTCAAATATAATGACTAATTGACTTACACAATATTCAGATATAATGGATTTTTTTGATAATTTCATTTCACATTTCCATCATCAATCAGACATAACATCAGTAAAATTAATCTAACTTTCCCAAATTTTTTTTTCCTAACCAAACACTTTTTCATAACTTATCTAGAATAAAAAAATTCCTCCCAAATCGTTAACAATCTCTCTTCCCCAGTAAAAAAAAAAATTCTCTTGTTACAAACGCCTTAAGATAATGGGCAGAAGGGCTTCTACGAGCTTCAAAATGCTGACCCACCACCCTTGGTTTTTCCAAGTAACAATTCTTTTGCTTCATTTATTTTGGATGCAAGGTAATGGCTGCCACCTGCATCTGGATGGTTTGCAACCATCACCCTCCTATGGGCTTCTTTGATCTTATCTGTTGGGGTGCGTTCTCTGCCATAGTGACAATTGGAAATCAGCAAGAGAAACATAGTAAATATCCGGAGAAAAATTTGTGAAGAGCATAGAAACAAAAATTCAATATTAACCAATGAAATTCCATTAGATATAACATGGAGGGAAAATATAGACAAGCAAAACACAATTAAGGACAGTCACCACCATCTCCTACATGTTTTGCTTGTCCTTAGAATCTCTTATCCACTTATATCCCAAACTTTGCAACATCAAACTAAACTAAAACACTGATTAAAAAGGGACTTTGCCATGTAATTTTAACATTAAAAGAGACTCAACCTTCATTATATGTTGGGAATGCATATGTTCAGGATTGTAAATATATCACAAGAAAGTCCAATACTTCAAATAAATATACATCATAGATTAATTCAATCAGTCAATCAATCCCCCAAAAGAAAAGTTGACAAACAGTGCTAAAGTCCGTCATAAACAAATATCAACATTTTATTTTTTCCCCCCCTTTATCACTGCAATGAGTTGACACAATCAAACATATTAGAATCATCAAACAAAAACGACGGTACCTAACACCCAGAATCAAAGCAGCTTCCCTCCTCGTCATCGTGGCTTGGAAACCACCTTCATAAAATCTCCGCATTGCAGGTGGTCTGGCCTTGAAAGCTTGCCAAGCCTGGATCCCGTATCTACCCGCATACGCTGCTGCCGCTACTGCAAGGCCTGCTATCAACGGTGTAGCCTGTTTCAAATTTCAAATTTTAGTTCCACAAATGATAAGACAATTTGAAAATAAAAAAAAGTTCAAAAATTTCCCCCAACCCCTGGCAGTCACAACACAACACCACAATAAGAAGGAAAACTAAAATCCAAATCATACTTATCAATGGCAACAAGGATAAAAATTCAGGTTCTATGTTAAACCCCACTTCCCAAAACATTCAGAAAATTGGAAGACTGAACAATCCGATACAATAAACAATTTATATTACATGCAATAAGAAATTATGGAGTAAAATAAAAAGGTGGGTACACGGACAGAGAGAGAGGGAGAGAGGGGAAAGAGGATCTTCACATGAAGTCTGGCAAAAATAAGCAAGATCCGGTTTTTAGCTCAAACGCAAAGAGACCGTAAGAAAATCAGCTCTATTGGATCGAAACTTAGGAGAAAGGGGAAAAAAAAAACATCATTAGAAAAGTGTTGGGAGATTATAGACAAACCCAGAGAAAGTTAAGAGGAGGAGGAGGGTTTCCTAGATCGAAATCGAAGTAAAAGGGATGCAATTTGAAGAATAAGGATGAAGAGGCTTACCATAATGTTAAAACCTTGAACAAATGCAAATGGAGAATCGGAATAGGGTTTTTTGCCTGTTACTCGCAGAGAGGGCTGAGTTGAGGAACATGAAATACAATTGGGTCTTATTTATATGTTTTTTTAAACGCCTTGCTCCTCAAGTCTGTTTTCTCTAGAAATCTCTAGAAACAAGTATGTCAGTATGAACAATTTTTTATTTTTTTTTAACTTTTATTTATGCATAATATTACTTATTTTTAATCGTTTTAACATAAAGAATTCGCCTACCATAGCAATATTTTTTTTTAATTACAAAAAAAATATAAAATTACTTATTATTGTTCATACTGAGATACTTAAACTGGTATTATTTATTAAAAAAAAATTATTTGTTACCATGGGAGATATATAAAGGTGCTTGAGGTAGGCTATAGACTTTAGAAGGTGAAATAGTCTTGCATCACTCCATCGCTCAAGTCACTTTGTGGTTAAATATTTTGGGACGTATTGAGTATCTCGACATGCAATTTTGATCGTTTCCGACGTGATTAAGGATAAATATTTTATAAAATTAAAATTATTCTAAAATAAAACAAAATTTTAAAACAAATTTTTTTTTTCGTGGACCTACCCGTCGCTTTGTCAAAGATGACGATGGCCTCATCAATAGGCCCGAATGCGGAAAAGACCTCATGGAGGGAGGTGTTGGTGGTTTCGAGTCCGAGGTTCTGGACGAAGAGCTTTTGAGGAGCAATGTCACAGTCGATGACGGAATATATGGCATCGAGAATATTAGGGTGACAAAGTGTTGTGGTTTTGAGAATGTCGATGAGCTTATTTCGGCTGAAGGGTTCGATGATTTTGCGGATTTCTTCTAGGGTAGGGGATACGATGACAGCAAAGGACGATGGCGGAGGGGAATCGAAGTCGCCATCCTCGTCGATCTTTCGTTTTTTTCTAAAGAGGGGATTTTTTTTTTATAATTAGAGATTTTGATTTCTAAATTCAAAACGCGTTTAATGTGTACAACATTAAATGCTTTCTAGTTTCAAAATATTTATTTATGTTAAAATAATTATATTCTTTCAATTACTTTATCACTTTGTTAAAAAAATAATAACAAATATTTTGTAAATGGATAGTATCTTTAATATTCCAATGATGGGCAATTTAATTAATTATGATTTGAAATAAAATTAAGGCTATTTAATGGCTATCTTATTTATTGTATATTACCTTAAATGATAAATATTTTTATAAAGTACTAAATAATCAATAATATTTTATAAATAATATTATAAGCTCTATAATCAATACTTTTAGCACACTCATGCGCCATATGTTTATAGATAAGAATATTCAAGATATTTATTGGTTATATGACTTTTAATGGGCTACTATTTGTATTAAATGTGCACTATATTGTATATATTAAAAATATTATTTAAACCCCCAAGGGTAGCTTAGTTGGCAGCTGAGCTCCCAAGGGATTGCTTGGTGCAGGGATCAAACCCTGCCTCGAGCAGTTTCTTGGAAAATCTTTGGGGGCCAGAGGATAAGCCAAAAATCTTCGGTTGGGGGATTAGTCTCGTCCTTTCTCCGGTTGCGAAGCTTAGTGCACCCACTGTTACAATGAGGGGCTAGCCCAAACGGGCCGTACCCCGAGGGCATGGTGCCCGGAGAAGGTTGAATGGGGATACCTCCTGGCAATGTACCCAAAAAAAAATATTATTTAATATTAAAACATGTTCTAACGTGTCGAAATCTAATACTTTTTAAAATTAACGCATTGCCTGTTGTGTCTCGTTTCGGTAATGACATTTGAAGCATGGACACACTGGATTTTATAAAAATTTCGACACGCTCCTACACACGTTCGACACGCGGTCAACATTTGGGGACACGTGGTCAACTCTCCGACACATTTTTCCGACACACAGTCAACTTTTTCGACATGTGGTCAACGCTCCGACACATTTTTTCTAGGTCGTAATTTTAATTTATCAACCAAACATAAAAAAATAATTTATAAATCAATTTTTTTCTGTTATGAAATTTGACTTGAAAAACTAACAAGGTACGAATTTTTTTTATATATATTTATGTTATGAAGTTTGAATATTTGATTGGTTATATGACTTATTATGGGTTGTTATATGTATTAAATATAAACTATATTATATATATTAAAAATATTATTTAATATTAAAACGTGTCCCAACGTGTTGAAATATGATATTTTTTAGAATTAACGTGTCATGTCCCGTGTCAGTGTTAGTGCAACATAGTTATTGACTCAAAATAGCTCAAGTCACTAAATGAATGAGAGTCTGTAATGCACAAAGATTGGAAGGGAATGAGAATTTGAGAGGGAGAATGAGAAAATAAGGGGCATAAAATGAATCAATGAGAAGAAGGGACGAGAAATATGGAGAGAGAAAATTAGGATAGAGAATAATTTGAGCAATTTTTTTCATATCCATTTATTCTGATGATTAGAATATATAGCCATGATTCAATTATAACCAAATTGAAAACAAAATTGCAAATATCATAATAAAAAACATAAAATGGAAATAACAAATAAAAAGAAATTGGAAAAATTAAAGTAGGACTTATGTTTGGCCAAAATGGCTGATATGGTAACTGTGCATTGTGAGTGGGATTGGCAGATCTCGAAAGATATGCTGAGCTCTCTCAACCCTCATCTCAGTCATGAAGGCCTGTATCATATCCTGATTATTTTTCATCAGGTTCTCAGTCATAGTCTTATTTGCAGCAGTCTCCGCCTGCAGAGCATTAAGAACTGTAGTAATCGGATCAGGCGGTGAAGGATCTGCACCTCGTGTCCCATGGCCACCACGAATCATCCTCATGATAATTGTACATGTAACACAAATGAATGAGCTGATCAGACTCACACTGAGGAATCACATTACATTAATCATAAAGAGTTTACAGATAGCTATGCAACACAAAATACAGTCATACATAATCAGAGTTCCCTAGTAAAACCGCTCCGATACCATAAAATGTAACATCCCGTTATGTACCGGTAATGTTAACATTGCATATGGTATTAAGCGCAGTTACAATCACAATAATTGAGTTAATTAAATTACGGGTAAACTTTATTTTATTTTATTAAATCCTTGTAGTTAACCATTAACCATTTTCATAATCAATTAACACCAACACCGTAATTATAATTGCAAAACTCGTGGAAGCATAATACTTATTCTTTATAACACCACCAAGCAACATGTAAGAACCCGCACCATTAATTAAGGAAGTTAATTAATTAACTATGTGAAATTAGAAAATAATTTCATAATTGACCCTAATAATTATTATGAGGCTTAAATAAATATAGAAAGTGATTAATAATGCTGAAAGTCGCTTTTCTGACGAAAAGTGCAGATACCGGTTCTGCTACTCGGTATAAATGCGTACTGGTGAAGTATCCCGGAAAATTATAATAAGTGCATGAATATTTCTAGAATAATATATAGGACTTGTAAAACAAGTTTGAAGTCAAAATAATGAGAATTGATGTCAGAACTAATACTGTCAATGTTAAAACGCGTACCGAAAAGTGTTGCGAAAAATTAATATAAAAATATGGCAAATCCTAAAAAAATGGCTAGGTTCAGAATATGAAGTTTGAGATTAAAATGATAAGCGTAGCTATTATTGCTAATACTGTGCGATTAATCTTAAGTGGACTATATATACTTGGGCACAAAGCTCTAGGTCAGAATTTGCATTCCTTCTACATGAGATTCTGAACCCCTTGGCTGCCACCTTCACCTCCATTGCAAGGGTGGAGCTTTTCTCCATTTTCTAGCCCAAGTTCCCACCTTTTCCCTTACTTCCTTCACCAAAGTTCCTTGTATGAGTGTGCTCTAGCCATGAGTGGTTGGAAGTTTACTCATTTCTGAGTTTTTGGTCACTGGTTTGGTGGGGTTAAGGGCTGCATTTCTGAGTTTGGTGTGAGGGGTCATCTTCTTGGCACTTTTGAGCTTCATGGTGCCATTTTAATAGAGAAAGGTCCAACCTTGTGGTGTATTTTCGTGCTCTTGCAAAGTCAGAATTTTTTAGCATTGTTGGAGAGCTCCAAGAGCCTTCTTTGTTGCTGAGTTTGGACCCCATTGGTATACCTTGGACTTTCCTTTAATTTTTCTTGAAAATAAGCTTGTTTATATTATGAAATGAGATAACTTTAATCATTCAAGCTTAAGGTTGTTAATCTAAGGCTAATAAGTGTTAATGAATATCTGTTTTGGGTCAAAACCAAACTTTGGGTCATTGGGTGAAATTTTTGCTTCGGATTGTGCAGAAAAATTCTGCAGAAAACTGTTCTGCCCGCGTGGTAATCGATTACTTTTGGTTGGTAATCGATTACCATGTGCAGTAATCGATTACCATGTCCTTGGTAATCGATTACCACCTGTGAAAATGACCGGAAACCAGTTTTATGCGTGGGTTAGTCCCCTTTTGGGCATGATGGCCTAAGAAGTTTGTATTACTATTGAAAAACAATGATACCTTTAATTATGGGACTTAATACTTGATAATTATGAACTAGAAACGATGTAATCGAATAAGGAAATGTTGTTATAATGAAATGAACCTTTAAAGTATGGTTATTGATGATATTTCTGATATAAACAGATTGTGATTGTGCTGTTTGTGGGCCTTGAGCTTGTGCGGGCTTTTGGCTTGGATAGTTAGCTTGCAAGGTAAGCTTTCGTGTCCTCGGTTTAGCCATGTTGTGGTTCCACCATACCCCATGGGGGAATGGTTTATATGCATGCTGTGTTACACACCTTGGATATTTTGAAATGCTTTTGAGCTGATATGTGCAATGACTTATAATATGTATGTGTTGTTTGCACTTAGTCGGTAAGCTTAAGTATGTAGCGTCATACAAGATGGTGAGCCCGTGGGTGGGTGTAAGTAGCGTCTTGCATATTGTGTGGGTAATTGACGTATTCCTGCATTTCTCTGATTAGTAGAATAGAATTGACACAGATGACATGATTATCTGTTGCATTGCACTATTTTGGAAATTATATTGTTAAACTGCTTTTGAACTTATATTACACATGTAAGTGGGCTTGGG